TTTATTTTTATTCATTTTAATTTTAAATTGTGTGATCAAAAAAAAAAAAAAATATAAATGTTGTATAATTAATGTTCAATTTTTGATAATATAAAGTATCTTTAAAGAGGAGTTATTACTAATCCATCAACAAGGTATAAGCTGAGTACTAATCCAAAGGGTTCAAATGCAACAAACCTATGGTGGCACGGTGCCTCCGAATGCCCATAACAGTAGAATGCACTAGTGGTCCCTTGGGGCAATTCTACCATGCAACGTTAGCCCAGGGAAGAAAAATATAAGCTGTACCACGCAGATATAAAATGCTGGAAAAAAAAATCCCTGATGAGTTAAAAAAAAAAAAAAAAAGCAATGTTATGCTGAACAAATATCTGTTTAAATTTTGTATCTCAAATCAATGCAGGTGGTTGAATTAGTGGGGTCTGCTACTTTCACCAAATATTCAATGCATGTGATTTTAATACATCACTTGGGATACAAGATTTGTGCAGCACAACTTTATCCTTAAAAAGCATCAAAGAGTGTATTTTAACAATTGAGAGTGTATTTTGGTTTAAGCTATTTGGAATTGGGTAACTCCAACTTAATTGAGAGTGTATTTTTCTATAGTTATTGCCCAAAATACTTGCACTTGTCTAGTTTTTACGGAAGTGGTTGGGCTTAATAGTGATATGATAGGATCAGAATGAATCTATTAATATTTAGGTAGAAATTCATGGATATCTAAGTCTATTTGGATAAATACAAATGATTATAGGAATATGTGATTTATATTTATCTTGTGTAATTCTCACCATATAAATAGAATTGAGCCTCAAATAATCAATTAACTTCAATAATAGATTAGATGTAATTAATAGAGCGTTAGGTCTGTAGATGTAGGCACTATGTCAAACCACGTTATTCTTTGTGTATCATTTTACTATCATTATTTTATCTTTAATCTCTCTCATATCTAAAATTCTACAGGGCTAAAGGTAGCGACAGGTATGGTGATTGTGCTGGGATTGGGTGATTTTGGGTAATAGNAAAAAAAAAAAAAAAGCAATGTTATGCTGAACAAATATCTGTTTAAATTTTGTATCTCAAATCAATGCAGGTGGTTGAATTAGTGGGGTCTGCTACTTTCACCAAATATTCAATGCATGTGATTTTAATACATCACTTGGGATACAAGATTTGTGCAGCACAACTTTATCCTTAAAAAGCATCAAAGAGTGTATTTTAACAATTGAGAGTGTATTTTGGTTTAAGCTATTTGGAATTGGGTAACTCCAACTTAATTGAGAGTGTATTTTTCTATAGTTATTGCCCAAAATACTTGCACTTGTCTAGTTTTTACGGAATTGGTTGGGCTTAATAGTGATATGATAGGATCAGAATGAATCTATTAATATTTAGGTAGAAATTCATGGATATCTAAGTCTATTTGGATAAATACAAATGATTATAGGAATATGTGATTTATATTTATCTTGTGTAATTCTCACCATATAAATAGAATTGAGCCTCAAATAATCAATTAACTTCAATAATAGATTAGATGTAATTAATAGAGCGTTAGGTCTATAGATGTAGGCACTATGTCAAACCACGTTATTCTTTGTGTATCATTTTACTATCATTATTTTATCTTTAATCTCTCTCATATCTAAAATTCTACAGGGCTAAAGGTAGCGACAGGTATGGTGATTGTGCTGGGATTGGGTGATTTTGGGTAATAGTGGTCCTGGCAACTGCTATGGTTAGATGGATAGGTGACAACGATGATAAAGTGTTAATGCGAGATGATGGTGGCAAAAATAATGGTGGTGACAAGGATGCGATGGTGTTGATGGTTGTGTTGAGGTGGTGATTTGTGATGGTGGTGATGCTAGTGGTGATAGTGGGTGATTGGTTGTTCTAGTACTAGAGGTAGGGTGATGTTGATGGTGGCAGTAGAGAGGTGACAACGATAATAAGTTGGTAATGACAAATGGTGGTGGCAATGATGATGGTGGGGTGGGATGGTGGTATTGGTGGTGGTGGGTGACAATGGTGATTGGTTATGAGTAGTGGCGATTGTGGTAGTGGTAAGGCGATTGTAGTGGCAACGGTGGTGGTGGTTGTAAGGTGTTAGCAGTGGCAACAATGAGGTGGTGAGTTGTGAAAAGTTATGGTGTAAGATCATTTTGGATCAAAGTACTTGGGGACAAATTGTTCAATATTGAAAAGTTTGTAAATTCCTTATTCACTAGCAAGCGGGTAACTTGCTTCTTAAAACATTAGCCTAGTACTTTAATTTTTGTGTGATGAGATAAGTTTTGATTATCAAACACACTGAATTGAAAAGATATGAAATATTTCAATTTTAAGTGCTAAATTGAATTATTAAATACCTTTTAAGATTCTTAAAAGAGAGAAACTTAATATAGTTAGAACTTATAGGATAAATTAAAAGACCCCATTGAATGGATTTATTGAGGTAAGAAATGGATCAGTGATACAGGATCACTTCAATTCCAAGCCCAACACAAGTGGTAATAGTGATGAGCTGTAAATTCAGATGTCATGAGTTCGAATTTTGATAACCCTTTAAATCCAAGACATGAGAAATTTATCCCTCTTGAATACCCTAGTCGTAGCGTAGATGTCCTAACTTAGACCAAACCAGAGAGACAATTAATCAAAATGCGAGTAAATTGATCCAAACATCCCTAATCATTGAACAAAAAAAAATCTCAATTCAAAATAATTACATATAACAATCAAATCCTAAAGTCTTTGGGATCCTACCTGATCCTCAACTAAATCTAATTTCAATTTGACAATCGAATCCAAACTTCAACTCCAATTGTATAACCCAAGATCAAAATATTAAGCATGGCAAGGGTGGATCAAGGTTGAATTTGGGTTTGGATTAAACTCAAATCGAAGATTTTATAACTTGGTTGAATGCAGATTGATTACTTAACCTGTTCGATCTAAACCAATGGCACCCTATACAATATTAAAGAAATTCTAATTTACCCAATTTTTTTTCCATTAAACTGAGAAATTATAGACTACAAGCAAGCGTACGCTGAATAGAATGGGGATGCATCAGAATGCCATTACATATAACACCAATAAAACAATAAATAATAAAACCCTGATCTGAATTCTAATNGAGAGTGTATTTTGGTTTAAGCTATTTGGAATTGGGTAACTCCAACTTAATTGAGAGTGTATTTTTCTATAGTTATTGCCCAAAATACTTGCACTTGTCTAGTTTTTACGGAAGTGGTTGGGCTTAATAGTGATATGATAGGATCAGAATGAATCTATTAATATTTAGGTAGAGATTCATGGATATCTAAGTCTATTTGGATAAATACAAATGATTATAGGAATATGTGATTTATATTTATCTTGTGTAATTCTCACCATATAAATAGAATTGAGCCTCAAATAATCAATTAACTTCAATAATAGATTAGATGTAATTAATAGAGCGTTAGGTCTGTAGATGTAGGCACTATGTCAAACCACGTTATTCTTTGTGTATCATTTTACTATCATTATTTTATCTTTAATCTCTCTCATATCTAAAATTCTACAGGGCTAAAGGTAGCGACAGGTATGGTGATTGTGCTGGGATTGGGTGATTTTGGGTAATAGTGGTCCTGGCAACTGCTATGGTTAGATGGATAGGTGACAACGATGATAAAGTGTTAATGCGAGATGATGGTGGCAAAAATAATGGTGGTGACAAGGATGCGATGGTGTTGATGGTTGTGTTGAGGTGGTGATTTGTGATGGTGGTGATGCTAGTGGTGATAGTGGGTGATTGGTTGTTCTAGTACTAGAGGTAGGGTGATGTTGATGGTGGCAGTAGAGAGGTGACAACGATAATAAGTTGGTAATGACAAATGGTGGTGGCAATGATGATGGTGGGGTGGGATGGTGGTATTGGTGGTGGTGGGTGACAATGGTGATTGGTTATGAGTAGTGGCGATTGTGGTAGTGGTAAGGCGATTGTAGTGGCAACGGTGGTGGTGGTTGTAAGGTGTTAGCAGTGGCGACAATGAGGTGGTGAGTTGTGAAAAGTTATGGTGTAAGATCATTTTGGATCAAAGTACTTGGGGACAAATTGTTCAATATTGAAAAGTTTGTAAATTCCTTATTCACTAGCAAGCGGGTAACTTGCTTCTTAAAACATTAGCCTAGTACTTTAATTTTTGTGTGATGAGATAAGTTTTGATTATCAAACACACTGAATTGAAAAGATATAAAATATTTCAATTTTAAGTGCTAAATTGAATTATCAAATACCTTTTAAGACTCTTAAAAGAGAGAAACTTAATATAGTTAGAACTTATAGGATAAATTAAAAGACCCCATTGAATGGATTTATTGAGGTAAGAAATGGATCAGTAGTGATACAGGATCACTTCAATTTCAAGCCCAACACAAGTGGTAATAGTGATGAGCTGTAAATTCAGATGTCATGAGTTTGAATTTTGGTAACCCTCTGAATCCAAGATATGAGAAATTTATCCCTCTTGAATACCCTAGTCGTAGCGTAGATGTCCTAACTTAGACCAAACCAGAGAGAAAATTAATCAAAATGCGAGTAAATTGATCCAAACATCCCTAACCATTGAACAAAAAAAAAATCTCAATTCAAAATAATTACATATAACAATCAAATCTTAAAGTCTTTGGGATCCTACCAGATCCTCAACTAAATCTAATTTCAATTTGAAAATCGAATCCAAACTTCAACTCCAATTGTATAACCCAAGATCAAAATATTAAGCATGGCAAGTGTGGATCAAGGTTGAATTTGGGTTTGGATTAAACTCAAATCGAAGATTTTATAACTTGGTTGAATGCAGATTGATTACTTAACCTGTTCGATCTAAACCAATGGCACCCTATACAATATTAAAGAAATTCTAATTTACCCATATTTTTTTTCCATTAAACTGAGAAATTATAGACTACAAGCAAGCGTACGCTGAATAGAATGGGGATGAATCAGAATGCCATTACATATAACACCAATAAAACAATAAATAATAAAACCCTGATCTGAATTCTAAATAAGTTTTTATTTGATCACATTGAATCAAACTTTCATCAGACCGTCGTCATCATCTTGACGAACTCTTCGTAGTCGACTTGACCATCACCATCTAAATCGGCCTCCCTAATCATCTGCTCGACCTCTTCGTCCGTTAGTTTTTCGCCTAGATTGATCATCACGTGCCTCAGCTGCACAGGATAATAGATTAAATTAATTTTGTTATTTTTTTTTGTAGAATCTTTCATTTGTGGTTAAATTCATTGCATACCCTAATCGACTACGTGAAACAGCTGGCAAAATTCTCATATTTTATTGGATGACAAGTCAACTGAAATTTGAATGTTGGCATAATTATAACGCAATAATTGTTTTGTTTTTCTTTTTTTATTATTAACCACAAGTTTTAAACCCGTGACTCTTTTCCCCGCCCGTTTGGAGCAAGAACCTCTGCCCCTGGGAAGGTTTAGCCCTACTATTGAATCATGAATTGATGTTGTATCCAAGACTCTAACCATAAAGTTAAGTATGTAGAGTTAGCCCATTTTAGTATTGATAAGAATGAGAATCAAGGAACATAATTTTATTATGTAAATATGCAAGTATGATTATCATGACAACGACGTGTTTTCTCTTTTTTTTTATTATTAATTTTTTGTTTGTCTTGCAAAATTGGATGGGTTCTTGTCCACCTCATTGATTGATTATAAGAAGAAATACATTTTAATGCTTGTTTGAGGCGTGTTTTGGAATTCATATAAAGTGTTTCAAATAAAGCACATTCAATAAGGCGAGAGTCTTATGTATTAGCGCCTAGCGGGCTTTTTATCAAAGGTGACATTTCATATTCAGTCGACCCATTCCATATTAAATTTAACGGGTCCAAACTAGGATGAGACAATAGTAAAATTTGGAACTTCGAATGCAAGAATGACAATTTTGATTGAGTATGAAGAACAATGTGTAAAGGCTAGCTCACCTCATTAGCTGATATGTAACCATTTTCATCCTTGTCGAACACTTTGAAAGCTTCTTTAAGCTCTTCCTCTACATCAGTCTCCTATATTCATTATCATAAACATTTTTAGCAATCTTAGATTGATCCATTTGTGGTAAGATTAAAAAAAAAACTAGCTAGCTAGCTATCTAAAATCATTAATGATGTTACCTTCATTTTTTGGGCCATTAGGTTCAAGAACTCGGGGAAATCTATGTTTCCATTTCCATCAGAATCAACTTCACTAATCATGTCTTGAAGTTCTTCTTCAGTTGGGTTTTGATCCAATGACCTTATCACTGTTGCCAATTCTTCCACAGTAATGCAACCTATAGGTTCACACACTTCATCAGAAGCTAGAGAGAGAGAGAGAGAGATGAGGAAGACCCATTTATCATTCTGGAAGACAAATGCATAAGAATGACTTCAATCACAAAAACAAAAAGCAAAAGATGTTAGCATGCAAGAGTGTATGTATGTATATGTAATGTATGTATTGAAATATGGAAACAGAGTTGAAACTAACCATCTCCATCTTTGTCAAACAGGCCAGATGACTCCTGAAACTCATCAACAATTTGTTCTTCGTTCAATACATTAGCCATTGTACCTGCCTTGACAGCTAAAAGACACAAGCAATCTTCAAAGTTTGGGGAGTGCTGTATGTGAGGGAGTGATTGTGAGTGACAGTCTAGAGGGAGAGAGGGGGAGAGAGAGAGAGAGTTTTTTGTATAGCTTTTGTGACTCGCTGGCTTTTTGTAGAATTCAAAGGTGATGATGGGGCTAGTAAATGGCATCTCTTGTCATTAGATTTTTCTTTTTCTTTTCGTTTACAATCAATTTTCTTTTCTTTAACCAAAAAAACAAAGAGAGTCAAATGAAGTTGGTGATGAAAGTATGGCATGCAGATAAACTTATGATAGCGATAACCATGTTGAAAGTCTAAAATGGCCATCTAATTTGATGGGTCTGGTAACCATTTTCCCCTATAAAGAGTTGAATAAGAATAAATCGAATAGTCAAATTAAACCTAGATGTCATAATCATAATATATGACTTTCTCCAAGAAGAATGAAATGGCCATTCTCTCTGATCCAAAAAAAAAAGAAAAGAAAGTGCCACTCTCTCTCGCACCCAATATGGCCAATCCAAAATCAACTTCTTGGAATTTTGGGGAACATGTTCCAACCACTTATTTTTTAATTCGCAGCTAAAATAAATTCGATAATAATAATAATAATAATATGTGCACCACCTCATATAATTTACTTGATGTTAGGGTTGATAATTAAACCGAGTTACTCGAGTTCGGTTCGACTAATTTTAGACACTATTTGGGGGTCGGTTTTTTTTCTAATAAACGAGTATAATTTTTTAAGTTTGTTTAAAAAAACGTGCGGCTCGAGCTCATAAAATTCAACTCTTTTATATATAGAATAGTCGATCTATTTAGGTTTGACTTAATTCAATTTAAGCTCGTTTAAAAAAGCAAGCTCGACAAACTTGTTTCGAACTCATAAAATTTGACTCAATTATCAACCTTACTTGGTGTGACATGATCTCAACCATCAAATATTTAATAAATTTAATGGGATTCACTAATCTAATATTTTATATTGAAGTGGTGCACAAAAATAATATATTTAAATTTGTTAAAATAAATTTTGAATACACATAATTACTAATAAACTACTTATATCTAAAAATAACGACCCTTAAAATCTTTTCATTCAAAAAACCCTAACATGTTACTTCTTCTTGGGAATTGGGTTGCACTATTCAAACTTATGTGCTCAAAGACCTTTTTTGAAATATAATATTCGGACAGCTGTGAGGTTTCATGTTTAGGAGACAAAGAGCATTCAAAGAGAAGACACAATCCTCTTACAAAACTATGGGGGTGTTTGATTGATGGGATAAAGGGACTTAACCTATGTTGGTGGGATTGGAGAAAATGAAGTTGGGCTCCACATATCTTTTGTTTGGACCAAAAAAAAAAAAAAATTGGAAGATTTTATTCGGGCTTATTTTGGATTCGGTATAAATAGGGAATTGTAGCCATCGTACATAGATTATCTTAATCCCACCTCCACTTGAGAGGTGGGTTTGAAACCAAGCCGACGGTATTTTTTTATCAAAATACTAAAATACCCTTGTTTTACTAGTTAGGCTTGCAGCCACTACCGTGAAGCATTAAAGCTCTCATTTCTCTCCGCAAAGCAACATCTTATGGCCTTGATTATTTGTTGTCATCAACTAAGTAAATAATGTTTTATATGCAAAATATGGTAAGATTTAGCTTGCACGGATAATTTAGCGGCGTTAGATTAATCTAGAGTGAAACATAAGGATTTCTTGAGTTCCACTTTTAGTGATGGCTCAAATTCAATGTACTTTTAGGGTTGGATTATGATTCGAAAGTTTATTTTTGAGTATTGAAACCNGAATAGTCAAATTAAACCTAGATGTCATAATCATAATATATGACTTTCTCCAAGAAGAATGAAATGGCCATTCTCTCTGATCCAAAAAAAAAAGAAAAGAAAGTGCCACTCTCTCTCGCACCCAATATGGCCAATCCAAANTGGTAACCATTTTCCCCTATAAAGAGTTGAATAAGAATAAATCGAATAGTCAAATTAAACCTAGATGTCATAATCATAATATATGACTTTCTCCAAGAAGAATGAAATGGCCATTCTCTCTGATCCAAAAAAAAAAAAGAAGAAAAAAAAGAAAGAGCCACTCTCTCTCGCACCCAATATGGCCAATCCAAAATCAACTTCTTGGAATTTTGGGGAACATGTTCCAACCACTTATTTTTTAATTCGCAGCTAAAATAAATTCGATAATAATAATAATAATAATATGTGCACCACCTCATATAATTTACTTGATGTTAGGGTTGATAATTAAACCGAGTTACTCGAGTTCGGTTCGACTAATTTTAGACACTATTTGGGGGTCGGTTTTTTTTCTAATAAACGAGTATAATTTTTTAAGTTTGTTTAAAAAAACGTGCGGCTCGAGCTCATAAAATTCAACTCTTTTATATATAGAATAGTCGATCTATTTAGGTTTGACTTAATTCAATTTAAGCTCGTTTAAAAAAGCAAGCTCGACAAACTTGTTTCGAACTCATAAAATTTGACTCAATTATCAACCTTACTTGGTGTGACATGATCTCAACCATCAAATATTTAATAAATTTAATGGGATTCACTAATCTAATATTTTATATTGAAGTGGTGCACAAAAATAATATATTTAAATTTGTTAAAATAAATTTTGAATACACATAATTACTAATAAACTACTTATATCTAAAAATAACGACCCTTAAAATCTTTTCATTCAAAAAACCCTAACATGTTACTTCTTCTTGGGAATTGGGTTGCACTATTCAAACTTATGTGCTCAAAGACCTTTTTTGAAATATAATATTCGGACAGCTGTGAGGTTTCATGTTTAGGAGACAAAGAGCATTCAAAGAGAAGACACAATCCTCTTACAAAACTATGGGGGTGTTTGATTGATGGGATAAAGGGACTTAACCTATGTTGGTGGGATTGGAGAAAATGAAGTTGGGCTCCACATATCTTTTGTTTGGACCAAAAAAAAAAAAATTGGAAGATTTTATTCGGGCTTATTTTGGATTCGGTATGAATAGGGAATTGTAGCCATCGTACATAGATTATCTTAAACCCACCTCCACTTGAGAGGTGGGTTTGAAACCAAGCCGACGGTATTTTTTTATCAAAATACTAAAATACCCTTGTTTTACTAGTTAGGCTTGCAGCCACTACCGTGAAGCATTAAAGCTCTCATTTCTCTCCGCAAAGCAACATCTTATGGCCTTGATTATTTGTTGTCATCAACTAAGTAAATAATGTTTTCTATGCAAAATATGGTAAGATTTAGCTTGCACGGATAATTTAGCGGTGTTAGATTAATCTAGAGTGAAACATAAGGATTTCTTGAGTTCCACTTTTAGGGTTGGATTATGATTCGAAAGTTTATTTTTGAGTATTGGAACATCTTCTTTGTCTAATTTGACACGTGAAAATTTATTATTGTAGTGTTACGCTTTGTTTTATTATTGTCATAGTCAATGGTCATTATAATCCATTTAAACTAAAATTTTCAATGAGAAATTATTTTTAGTATAATATCCAAAACTTAATTTTGGTATCATAGTTTTACACGGATGGGTATCCTAAATAACTGAATCAAGCGACAAGACATCGGGCGAATTTGATATAAAAGACATGCTCTGTAGTCCGAGGGTTAGTGTTTGGGAGTGCCTGTGTTTTCGTGCCGTCTAGGCCCTATTGGTGGTGGACTACCGTCATGGGTTTGGGCTGCTATGGTCATGCCCAAGCTGGAGTTCCACCTTGGTTGCCCAGNAATCAACTTCTTGGAATTTTGGGGAACATGTTCCAACCACTTATTTTTTAATTCGCAGCTAAAATAAATTCGATAATAATAATAATAATAATATGTGCACCACCTCATATAATTTACTTGATGTTAGGGTTGATAATTAAACCGAGTTACTCGAGTTCGGTTCGACTAATTTTAGACACTATTTGGGGGTCGGTTTTTTTTCTAATAAACGAGTATAATTTTTTAAGTTTGTTTAAAAAAACGTGCGGCTCGAGCTCATAAAATTCAACTCTTTTATATATAGAATAGTCGATCTATTTAGGTTTGACTTAATTCAATTTAAGCTCGTTTAAAAAAGCAAGCTCGACAAACTTGTTTCGAACTCATAAAATTTGACTCAATTATCAACCTTACTTGGTGTGACATGATCNAATATGTGCACCACCTCATATAATTTACTTGATGTTAGGGTTGATAATTAAACCGAGGTTCGACTCATTTTAGACACTGTTTGGGGCTCGGTTCTTTTTCTAATAAACGAGTATAATTTTTTAGGTTTGTTTAAAAAAATGTGCGGCTCGAGCTCATAAAATTCAACTTTTTTATATATAGAATAGTCGATCTATTCAGGTTTGACTTGATTCAGTTTAAGCTCGTTTAAAAAAGCAAGCTCGACAAACTTGTCTCGAACTCATAAAATTTGACTCAATTATCAACCTTACTTGGTGTGACATGATCTCAACCATCAAATATTTAATAAATTTAATGGGATTCACTAATCTAATATTTTATATTGAAGTGGTGCACAAAAATAATATATTTAAATTTGTTAAAATAAATTTTGAATACACATAATTACTAATAAACTACTTATATCTAAAAATAACGACCCTTAAAATCTTTTCATTCAAAAAACCCTAACATGTTACTTCTTCTTGGGAATTGGGTTGCACTATTCAAACTTATGTGCTCAAAGACCTTTTTTGAAATATAATATTCGGACAGCTGTGAGGTTTCATGTTTAGGAGACAAAGAGCATTCAAAGAGAAGACACAATCCTCTTACAAAACTATGGGGGTGTTTGATTGATGGGATAAAGGGACTTAACCTATGTTGGTGGGATTNATTTCCTGAAGAAGACAAATCACACTCTACCCCCTCAATATCACAAGAGGGTAAACTCCTTGTTCTAAAACCTTATGCAAGTAGACAAACATAC